TAATTAGAGCCTGTTAAGTTTCCTAAATATAAGGTTGACTTATAAAAATTAATGCATCTGAGTAATAATAAATTTAAAAAGTGACAAATTCATAATAGGAACAATAGTTAAAAGACAGCTTAGAAAAAAGATAATGTGGCATTCGAGCAAACTAATGGAACAGAGAAAGAGTTCAGAAATAATATTCAAGCATTTGTGGCCCTTTTGTTATAGAAGAGATATCCTAGATAGTGGGGCAAACTTTTCAAAAGGCCATGGGATGGATGACTTTTCATATGGTGGGAAAAATTTTGATTCCTATCGCATTCTACAAAGATTAAAAACCAGTTCAATTATTAAAGACAACTATAAAAATATAACTTAAAATATGTAAAAATGATTTTTTATGGAGAAAACTACAAAATATACAGTATGCAAAGAACATGAATGACTTTGAATAAAAAGCAAATTTACCATATTTGTATACAGGCAAATCTCTCCAACTAATATTTTACCAAGAAAAGCCTGAAGTCTAACCATTTCACAATTTTCTAGAGTGTTTTGCTAAAAATAGATACTTGGGCTCCACAAATCTACTGAATAAGCATGTCTGAGGATATGGCCCAGGAATCTGAACCTTGAAAAGTTCTCCAGGTGATTTTTCTGCAGACCGAATTGTGATCACCTTGCCTTATAGAAGGCATGTAGGTCATAACCTGGGTTGCCCATTAGAATTAAATGAAAAAGCTTTAGAACACTCAGATGCCCAGACCACACCCAGACTGACTGCTTCAGATTCTCAGGGCCAGGCATCTATTCATTAGCATGATTTAAAAGTCTCTAGCAATTCCAATGAGCAGACCAGGCTGGAGCCAGCTGCCCTAAGTCAAGGCACACCTCCAGTCACCTTCGCTTTTTAAACATTTCCCTCTGGTGTAACCTAGTACAATTTGAACTATATCCTGGTTAAATAAGATACAATTTCCTTACACAGGATTATACATTATTCATTTGGCATCCCCAGCACCCTAGCTGGTACAGCAGGGGCTGTGTGGCCATTTTCTGAAGTAAGTTCAACTAAAGGAAATAAATTAATATGTAAGTGAATACAATTTTTACCAAGACCTAAAAATTCAATGGGATCGACAAATCTATACGGCAGTGAGGCACAATGTGAGGCTGTGAAAGGTACAGAAATGGACACAATGCAGCCCTCTATTCAACTGTTCATGATCTGGGAGGGAGGCAGATATGGACAAACTGTATTTGACAAAGAAGCAGACAGTGACAAGAGTTCAGATAGTTAAATGGGAATAGAAAAAAATTAACTCTTAATAGCAGGAGTTTAAAAGGCATTGCTGAAGATTTAGGGCCTGAGTTGGCCTTGAGGTATGGCTGGATTTAGGCAGGAGGAAATACAGGAAATGGGCAGTTGGGGTTCAGGACAGTTTCACACAGCATAAGCGAAGTCAGATGGGCCTCTCTCTAACCTTCACGCAAGGCTGCTATAGCGCGGACATTACAGCCTCCTTTTCTTTGTGACTTCCTTGTTATTGCTCTCATTTTTCAAATATTTTGCCTCTGGTTTATTAATTCTACCTCCCAGTGCTCCACTGTTTTCTTCTAGGAAGAGCTTCTCATTAGCATTTCTATAGGGAGCACCTGCTACCCCATCTATTCCTATTAACTGATGGCAGGGGCAATGGGGTTGACTGGGAGAGGAATTTTATTCTCCTCCTTATGACTCATCTATTTTCTAACAGAGAAAGCCAGGTCTAAAGTCACAAGTGGCTTCCCAGTGAAATCTATCCTTAACATTAAAAATGGCAATAAAGACGTGCTTCTCAACTTTATATCATCTATATAAAATGAGAATATTAAAAATTAATCAACCTCATAATTGTTATTAAATCTAAAAATACCTCAGATACCACTAGAATACAGAAATTCTGGCCTGAATAGGCTATGAATCAGATACACTGAATACGGAAGATTTCTCAAAACTATAGTGCTGAAGGATTTTATTTTTATTGATAGTTATTGAGCATATATTAGTATATAAATGATTCTAAATATTGAATGTATTTTTAAATTATATACCAATATATTAAGCTGATGAATTATGTATCCTTTATTACAGCAAACTGTTCACACTGGTATCTTGTGGCAGGTGTCACTTTTAAAGCCCATGAGAGGAACCAGTCACTATGATGTAAACACACCATGATTTATGTAGAGTGGCAAAAGAAAAGGTTTTATAAATCAAATTATCATCGAAACAGAGCATCGTTTGGTTTCTACAGAGATGTAAGGCCATCTATAGTGCACGTGGGGCACACTTAATTCAGAAGAAATCCAGAATCATGGAAAAGAAAAGGACATGAAACAATAGGCAAGGTAAATCAATGATCCAGATAAGCATCAAATTTCCAAGCATTTTTCTCTACAGTATATTTAATTCATTGAATATCTTGCTTTTCATTACTACTTTCATCCAAAGTACATTTCCCTATCACGGGTTAATGTTTCTTCTGGAATAAAAATTCATGTTAAATTTCACTTCAAATGTGTTATGCATTTAAATTGTTAATTAAAGAAATTGATGTCTCTTTAGCAACATCCATTGTCTTAATGTTTCAAAATTCATCTGATTATACAACAAAATGGAATTGATGGTTCCAAAGTCATATGTATAATTAATTTTTACAGAAGGCCTGAGTTTAAATCTTTTTGAGGTGTTCAAAGATTTTTTTTTTTTTTGACTGGTTGATAGAATTCTGATCGCGGCTAAAAATAGCCATTCTCACTAGCTGTTAGAGCATAGTCTTCCCCTGCTCAGTCTAATCATTTCTAGTATGTGTATAGTTGGTGACATGCTTCTTGCATAGTTAAGGTTTGTTTCAGGGGAAAAGGCTATACAGAACAAAGGCACAAAGCAAAATTTGGTGCAAGTTGTGTCTGACAGGTGCGGCCATTCCCTGACTAGCCAGCCATTCACAAACAAAGCAAGTCCTGCCAGTTTAAAAACATAAACTGATAAGCTCAGTAGGATCACTCAAGAAGGTTTGAGAACCTGATCTCTCTGTGGGTGGCAAGGTTCCACCTGCTGCAGGTAGAATGAATATAAGAAGATGGAGTCACCAGGCCAGCAATTTGTGGTGTTGAGTCAGCCTTAATGTTCTTGGAGGATGAAGCAGGGTCTTGTTAACAAGAAAGCCATAGAACAACTATGAAACTACATCTTGATTTTGTTTTTTATGGTTCTTGTTTGCTTGCTTCATTTCTTTTTCTTTATATCCTCCCTTGGTAGCTGCATAAATACATTGTGAAAATTCTACCTCCTTCTGGCTATCCAAGGAAAAGGGTATGTGTCCTTGCTTGACCCAGAGCTTTAAAAGGAAGCAATGCATTTCTGAGAGGCCAGTGAGGTTGCAATAGCAATAAACCAAGAGAAAGAGAGAGACAGTAAGTAGGAGGTGGGATTTGAGAAGACAGGAAATTCTGGGGGCAGTGAGTAGAGGGTCAGATTCTGTTTAAACAAAAGATGTCTACCTATGGTAGTCTTCTCAGCATATGAGGGAATGTTTGTCATGTTCTTGGAGGACATCATGAGGGACATGAGGCTACACATAGGGTCTTGGCAAATGACAGTAATTCTGCAGTCCTCTCCACCACATCCTCATGCAGGAAATAGGCAACTAAGTGGCAGTGGCATTGATGACAGACCCCATAAGGCACATTTTGAACATCTCTAGTTCAATTACCCATCATGCACACCTGCTTCCTCAGAGACCCCAAGCCCAGTGTGACATATTCAGAGCCAACTATGATCTCTTAACTAAATGATATGGCTTGATACATAAGGGCAGGACTGAAAGCTAAACACTTAGACATATACACACTGGATGGATGAAGGGTGAGAAAGCATACTGGAAGGACTGAGGTTGCAGCAGAGGGATTATTCTAGAAGGTGTGTGTGTGCACACGTGTGTGTGTGTGTGTGTGTGGGTGTGTGTGTGTGTTGAGGTGTTTTCATGAGTGAAGGCATTCATTTACAAGGCATTTGGAGGTGTGAAAGATGGAGTTCTTCATGGGGAGAGAGTAAGAAATACATCTGGAAAACATTAAGGGCACAGAGGAGTAAGGAGATGCCTCAATGGGGGAAGAGGCTGGAGACATTTAAGAAATGGAAATCAGAATCATGAAGCATCACGTAGAAGGTCAGAATGGAAACAAAACAAATGACCACTGTGTGCTAGGCACCAAGAGTCCTACTGAATAATTTCTCTTAATCCTTACAATGCCTACTTGCCATACAATAGGTATTCAAACTATATTGAAAATTTAATTTTAAATCAGTAAATGAATGAACAATCTTAAGAGATGTCCATTATCACTTACATCTTACAGGTAAGAACCTGAAGCATAGAAAGGTTAAGAAAGTTGTCCAGTAGTAAGAAGCAGGAGGAAAATGACTTCAAAGTCCAAGTGGGAGAAGAGGAGGGTGACTTGTACGGGCCTGGGGGGAATGTAGGAAAGGGTGTGGTGCTTGAATGTCACCCAGGGACTGAGGCAGAGAAAGAATGCAGGGCCCCGTGAAGTGAGCTAGGTGGAAAGCTCACTTGGAAAGAATTCTAGAACAATGAGGACCCTGTGGGAATACAACAAGGTGAGTGGGGGACAGCTGAGCCAGCTAGGGACAGCATCCAGCCCAATGTAGCAGGTGAACTAGGTGATGCTGAAGAAATCACTGGCCAGCTGTGAAAAAAATGGATGGGATCTCTGTTGGGCGGGTAGGGGTGGGGGAAAGATGGCTAAAAGAGTAAAGAGAAAGAGCTAGAAATGCTTTAATGCATAATCCTAATTCTCTACACAGGACAGGGAGGAAGCTAAGTCTGTGTGGCTGGAGGGGGCCTGGGATGCAGCAATGGAGAGGGCGTGGCCTGGGACGGAGAGGAAGCTAAATGTGAGGCCCAGGGAGCAGAGAATGAGCCCTGGACAGTCCTGCTGCCGCGTCTCACCTGTAGGAGCTGCTCACTGCACTCGTCACTTCCTCGCGGATTTGCCGGTTAAGGGCGTCCGCAGCCGCACGCCCCTTGCCACCCTCAGTGGCCTCGGCCTGAGAGGCGGGCTGTGGCGCCTGCTCCTGGCCCTCGGAGCGACGCACCATCCATGCAGGCCCGGCCTTTCTGCGAGTGTCGCGCTCCTCTGCACTCGTTGCTCTTCCAGCCGCTGGGCCACCAGCTCCTGCCTGGGGCTGGACGGCCGGCAGTGGCGTCTGCTCGTGGCCCTCGGAGCGACGCACCACCCAGGCGGGCCCTGCCTTTCTACGGGTGTCTCGCTCCTCTGCACCCGACGTCTTCCCTGCGGCTAGGACACCGACTTCCCCAGGCGCCTCCGGCTCTGGGGCCTCAGCAGAGATCTGCACCGGCCAGCGCTCCTGGCTCTGTGGCCGGCGCTTGGGCGCCCCGAAAACAGGGGCGGAAGCCTGAGAAGGCGCGGGGATCTGTACGGGCTTGGGGATCCAGGGGTGGTCCCCGCGGCGCGGCAGCGGCCATGCGCGGAAGTCCTTCTGGTACTGGGTCTCACGCTCGAAGGGCGCGTCCGACGGCTGGTACTCGCT